TTTGTTATTGTAGTAACAATTTCTCTCAAATATTGTAAATTGCAATGCTCCAACCGTTCATGTACTGGCACTGATTGATCGATATATTTTTTATAGATAGTTTTATATAGTTTAAACTATGATGATAGTTTTAAGCACAAAGTGTACATGCAGCAATAATAAATTAATAAAACAAATATTTTTAATTGTTTTCATCGAATTATGTACACTGTGTACTTCTGGGAAGTCTTCTGGATTTTTGTGGTCGCGTTTTTCGAACTGACCGATGGACCATACAAAAAGTCATGGAATATTTTGCATCGCTGGCCATGAGACCACACTCAACCCGCTGCCTACACTCGCTGCAGTCCGAAATATTATTGTTAGGAAGGCGTCTCTTGTTCCAATTTGACCGTGGTCGATTTTTTGAAATTTGATTAGTTATGTTCATTGACTTACAATAATATGGACGTCGGGTCCGCGCTAAGCAGTGTCCGAACTTATAGGGCGTTAAAATCGTATACAGAGCGTCATTCACGCTTTAGTCTTCGTTTGTTCGACTGACAGCGAAGCAAGCCAAATTAGACAGTACTGCGATGACGTTACAATTTAAATTCAGCTTTTTCATATTCCTTTACATGTCACTAAGTTTAAATAGGTTGACTTGGCACATTTTTTTCGTGGTATTTGTATTAGACCCGTCGTCCATTTATTTGTAAGTCAATGGTTATGTTTAATGTTGTCATTTAGTCGGTTGTACTACCAAAAAACTTTGTCAGCTCACCGTTTCGCAAACTTTTAGAATTAGTCTAGTATCGCTACCTTACCTATTTCTGCCGCCTAGCAGTAATGCTCATATTACTGCGTTACTGTTTTGAAGGGTAAAGGTGCTGGTGAAATTACAGGCACATGGGACTTGCCAACTTGTCTCAGAGTGATGGGCACGGAAGAAAAAAAGTATGGAAGTGCCTTAAACCTCGATTACTGTCAGAGCCACTAAAGAACTGCTGTTGCCAAAACTGACACATTCATAATTTGAAACATCATGTAATCTCGATATCGTTGTAAGTTCAATACCTATTATTGCAAGTTGCGTTTTGATTATATATTGAAATTTCAATCAATGTGCTGGCATCTAGCGGTCAACAGCTGAACGACGATGAATTCGATATGTTTAGTTCCCCAAGAAAGAAGCGACGATTTACACTAATCGATACCAATATTGAATAAGAAGCCCTATCTCATTGAATACTCGAAAAATAACTGTTATACACACACTTAAACATTAACTTCTACTTGCTGTCTGTACAATCCTGGGACTTTGCCACTAAGCAGTTCTGCGCACTCATAAATATAAAACAAAACAAAATATACGAACCTTGCCATCCCTCGATCCGGTAGCGAACATTTTCGAGTCGTGTGCCCACGCGCAGCACCAAATAATCCGAGTGTGAACACCATTAGTCTTATCCGTATTTGCGATTGCATCAAAATTATTGTCCGTAATCTCGTACAACGTCCACCGCCGGTCACGGGATACGGAGAGCAGATACCGACTGTCCGGGGAGAATGCTAGTTGCGTCACTGTCAGTTGGTGGGAGACTAGTTTTTGTTTTTGCCGCCATGTTGAAGTTTCCCTGTAGGAGATTTTGAGAAATTTTAATTACGTTACATTACCGTGCACAACGCACAGAGTTCAGCGAAGTTTCCATAACAATTTGACCTTTAAATTAGTTTAATAACGGTGTGTTGGGCATTGGTTATTTGACAGGAAAACGGTGACTTTCTATCTTTGTTACAGCAGAACATGATTTTGATATTTATACAATTTTTGATGTATAAATGTTGACAAGTTAACACTAAGTGGTCAAGTTTATCACAATACATACAAAAATCTTGAGGAAAACGATTTAGACAGTCACGACACGAAATCGCATTAAGTGAGGTATTTCAACGCGAGCCTACTTTTTAGGTGAGGTGTGGGGGGCCATCCCTTGTATCCCGTAACCCGCGCGCTGAAAATTAATATGAACAGGCGGAGAAAATACAACTTAGATCCGACGAAAAGCGCCCGATGGCGACTGACGGGGCAGCGGGCAGCGCGTGGCATTGTTAAGCCGCTGGGCAATTTTCAAATTTGGGATAAATGTGAATTTAATACAAGGTTTCAGAGAAAAACAAAATTTAGCAAGTTCTCTGTAGTCCTTAAAGATAAACTACTTCATATAAAAATGATGTGCAAAGTTAGATATTTTATTCTTAAATTGTTCGTTTTAGATTTTTATTTTAGTCTGTTTTCAGGATTCTATATGATCAGGCTTTTGGGCGGCCGTTCAAATTTGTCTTTTTTTTTTTAAAAAAAACACTATTTCAGTGAATTCAAAACTTTAAAACTCTCCCCTGTAATCTTGGCAATTTCGACATACGATACTTTACGTAGGAGGGGTCAAAATATCACGTCGCAGTACCATATGAGAACAGCCGCGTGTTCAGCGACGGTGGCCTTGCACGCCGAGGCCAGCCACCGCCCGTCCGCGCTCGCAGCCAGTGCGAACACCTCGTACCCGTGCCCGTACAGCTTGTGCTCCTCCGGCCACAGTGTGTTCTGCATTAATGTTTCTTCTGTTGGTGGTTCTGGAACAATGAACAACGTCTTTGTTGTGAGACACTTAAATAACTTATTTTAGTATCCTAATAAACCTGCATTCTTAACCGAATTAAAAAAAGTTTTTTTTATTACGTATGTTATGCATAACTCCAGGATTTGTGAACCGATTTTGATGATTCATTTTTGTTGGAAAGGACTCTAAGGACTTTCCGTTAACCGATTTCAAAAAAACTTGGCAAATAGATGTAATTTCACGAGCTTTTGAAATCGGTTTTTTCAGTACTCTGTACTGATACTATTTATGACCCCAAGTGACGGAACGAACAAGTCATGCACCTGGTGATAAGCGACACTCAGAGCTTTAAATCGCAAATATCTGAGGGGCACTACCACTACGCCCGTCACCCTGGGACAAAAGTTGACATGTCCCATATGCCTGTAATTTGACACCCTTATTCTTTAAAACGGAACGCAGTAATGCTGACATTATCGCTTGGCGGCAGAAATAGGTAAGGTGGCAGTACTTCCCTGGATGTACCCTTTCACAAGGAGCTCTATTCTTACTAATATCCTACTGAGATTGGCAGAGATGACGAGCAACAACGCAACAAAGTTGATGCCAACTACATATGTCAGTTTTACTATGAAAACAATGTCAAATCACGATCTTCGTAAGCGTTTCGTGGTAACCGCCGATACGAAGGTAAAACGATGATCGTTGCTTCGTATTTCGTGGTAGACCTTCTGTTTCCTCATTTATATACCCCTTCTCTTCTGAGCTCTCTGACTTCCCCAATCTGATCGAGGTACGTCGAGATCTACCTCCCTTCACGTTTCCATCCACATTCGCTCTACAAAGTGTTGTCAATTTTATTCCTACATTACCAAACCATCGAAATTTTCATTATAGGCCAAACTACGGTAGTGCGTCCCACTCTTCGAGCAGGGTTTGTCTCGTGAAAATGTTATACATAAAAATTTTCTAAGACGAGAGTTTATAGTCTGTCTTTTTTGAAAACGGAGTAAAATTACAGCACATTGCGCAAAATTGTTGCGCGCTCGCAAACACCTAGGGATTGCAGTCGACTATTGACTGTACGTTGGTTACACTTATGGAATAAATAGGCGAATTTTTTCATTTCATCATTGGCGCCATTATATGTCCACCTGCTGGGTACAGGCACATTTGAATTGTTGATATTTGAAAATTCATACACTTTTGAAGAATATGTATTAAAAATACTAATAGGAAACGTAATTTAAAGTTTTTCATTTTAATTTAACATACATAATCAAAGCCGCCTGGCGTTATTAAAATGTGTATGACTAAAAATTAATTTCGATACTAACCGACCAACTGTCAAAATAAGAATAAAGAATACAATAACGCAATTAGTAATCATAATCTATTGATAAACCTGTCGACAACTACTACATAACTATTTAGAATTGTACGAAAACTGGCAACCCTGCAAATGTCATTTTATACCATCTTCAAAAAAGATAGACCATGGCTCAATTCCGAGTTCGCGAGTGTTCCACAGTCTCTGAGCTGTTTTATATTAGTATTTAGTTGTGTTTTATGTTTACCTGCTTGGGTAAGAGCTTAATTACTAACTAAACTTCTTCCGTTGTTTACGTCGTAAACAACGGAACGGTTTCCCAGGGACTACATTTTCAGTGTGACCGGCTTCTCGTGTCTCCGTGATAACAGAGACGATGGACATGAATGGAGTGCACTTTTTGTTAACAAATCCTTGCCCGTCGCCCAAATCCATCTCGCCTCACACAATAAAGTTATACTTAACGCCATAGCAGTAAGATTTAAGATATCTCTTTTGTGTCAATATATATTCCCCACCCTAATTTTCTTGTTTTGCTAAATCTTCGCTCCATTACATCAGTACTCCCCTCCCCTATAGTTGTTATGGGCGATTTTAACGCGCACCACGAGTCCTGGGGATCTTATCGTTCAGATTCGTTTGGTACCCTGCTTGTTGACCTCCTGGATGAGCTGAATTTGTGCGTTGATAAGGGATACCTCTCTGTGTGAGTGTGGCGTTGAGGATGGCACCACAGACAATGTTCTTTGTAACTGCCCTAAGCTGAACGTTTCTCTTTACGATTTACTCCCTCAAGATGTCCCTCGTCCAACCAACATAAAGTGCATCCTCGAGATGTCCAAGCCCTCCCCTTTTAAAATTTAAAAAAAAAATTGACAATAAACCAATTAAAATGTTTACCTTTTTTGTTTTTTCCTTTTCTTTGTTTTTTAATTTTTAATTTCTTATATAGCCCCTGTCTAAAACTATACTGCTTGCATTAACTCATTTATGTACCTAAAAAGTTTACTAACAACCCTGTTTTATTAGGCTATACTTTGTGTTGTCCTGTGATGTTGCAACGGTGTGCTTTGTTTTAGATAAACCCGCTTCGAGTCTCACAGACTACCTACGCGAGATTGGCGGAATTGAGAAAGACACAGTTCATAGGTCATAGTTCGTTATGCTGGCTCTATGCGAGTTGGGGACTTCACTCTAACGGTTGTGAACTTTAAATTTAAGTCTTAGATATAAGCCGAAATGGAGATTCGGGCTGTCGACCTCACAATTGTAAAGCAAGCATCTCCCACTATGCTACCACCGCTGCTATATCTCATAATGTTAACTTACCTGTTAAATGAACCGGCACAAAGTAGCCATCGCCGTCGTCCTCTAACTCGGGCTGGTCCTCGTCGCCCGAGAACACTGCTTTGTTCGACAAACCTAGAGATGGTACCGAAGCTCCTTGCGGCCCTAAGAGAAAAAGTCAAAGGTGTGAAACCGTAATTCTCATGTAGACTTTGGTACTTACGTGGTTATTCCCTAAATGGTTATTATGGGTTCCTTACAACGGTATGAAACCTGTACCTTAGGCTGTGGTAAGAAATTATCACAACTGAACAAAAAATTTTACTTCAAAGGTAAAGGTCACGGGTTCGTCAATTTAGGAAATAAAGTTTGAAAATTGTTTTTTTATAATAATAATAATAATAATAATAAAGTTCTTTATTGACAGGTACGGCACACCCATATAAAAGTCATACGACAAAAATATAAATAGTATTAAAAATTATATAAATTAGAATTAAAATTAAAAATTAAAAATAAAAATAAAAAATAAAAATTATTTAAAAATTAAAAATTATAAATTTTAAAAATTAAAAATTAAAAAAATTAAAAATATGTCAAACATAGTATAGCACCTATAGAATTTATAGGGCAGTCACTTTTTATTTTCGTTACGATGCACGGAGGTCCAGTATCTGTAGAAACCGTTGTCCATGTGCTCCGAGAGAGTACGAAGGATCCCGTTGTCAGACGCGCGGAGGCGGCCCCAAAAACATGCAACACGCGACCTTATAATGGCGAAAAAATCTGGAACTCTGGCCTCGGCGAACATGCTCGATGCACTGCAGTATCTCGGCTGTTTCATTAGAATGCGATATGCATCATTATACTGCACTCTAATGGTTCTCATCGCTCGCTTAGTAAATTTGATCCAGAGTTGACACGTGTAAAAACTTAAACAATAAGCCTTAAACAACGTCACTCTGACATCGTCACTACAGCGCGCGAACCTGCGTGCGAGCATGTTACACCGCACGGCCAGAGCCCTACGCTCTCGTTCTATGTCGTCATCATCAACAAGACTCTCCGCAAGCACATGTCCAAGGTATTTGAACCTAACCACCCTCTCCACTTGCGCTCCATCTAGAAACACGGGCGGAACGTTCGCCGGACCCCTACCCGCTGTAAAAACCATGAGTTGCGTTTTCAGGACGTTATACTTAAGACCGTAATCTTGAGCGTACTGTTCACAGACTGCTAGCAACTTCCTCAGACCACCGATTGATGGACTGAGGAGCACCATATCGTCGGCGTAACTTAGGTTGTTCAAACACGACGTGCCAATATGGCAGCCCACTCTAGTGCTTCTCAGCTCCGCAATCAGGTCATTCACATAACATCAAGTGACGGGACGAACAAGTCGTGCGCCCGATGGTAAGCGACGCGCCTGTCCGTAACTGTTGCAGTGCCACTCAGAGTTTTAAATCGCAAAGATCTGACGGACACTTCCTCTGCGCCCGTCACCTTGAAACATAAGTTGACAAGTTCCATGTGCCTGTAATTTCACAAACCGAAACGCAGTAATGCTCACACTACTGCTTGACGGCAGAAATAGGGAAGATGGCAGTACTTCCCTGGACCAATTCTTTCACAAGGAGTTCAACGGCTAAAAAAAGCAAATTTTTTATTGAAGCCACACTATGTTATATGTTATATGACACATACAAGCGTACATCTAGTCCACAGTGATCGGCGCTTTTTTTGACACTGACTTTGCGAGTTGGCAGCAGCGTTAATGCAACAAATATTTCTAATCTAGTATGGCAGTTTTGGGTAATGCCTTCCGAATTTCCTTACCCTGGCAAAGTATACCACAGTTTGAGAACAGGTAATGAGATAAAGTATCTTAAAGTTAAATAGTAATTTTTACTACAGGGCGTTTTAAAAAGAATGACGTCTATAATTAGGCATTTAAAGTCAATCACAAGGCCAAATGAAAAGCAAACGACGATAAAACTTAATGTCTTTTACCGTTGCTTGATTTTGTGTTGTGGTATTCTAAAGCAATATTTGTAAAAACATAATACTAAATTTCAAAATATGAACTTAAGTTCTTTTATCTCCCACTTACAGAATTTATTACATCTCTAACTCAGCACGATATACAAGCCCTTACCACTGGTATCTCCAGAGATTTCCACGCCGGTAATATTACGAAAGTTGATGATGAAGTTATGCGGCGCCCGGAACACCCGGATGACTTTCTCCTCAGCGGCCGAGGCGAAGGTGGTCGCCGACACGAGCGCGAGTGACGCCATGTCGTAGCCGTGCACCTGCGGACGCGCAATCTCGTGCCATTCGCGACCCATACCTGCCGGCCAGAACATATCTTAGGCGCGAGAGAAAACCGCGTGTGTTTGTACAAATACACACACCGGCACATTTAGCAGAACACTCGTTAAATCCTAAATTGACCGATGGAGAACACTTGTTCGAGAGGCGATTACAAATGCAAAGGTAGTGTAGGACGTTCTGCGGCAAGATGGACGGACGACCTGGGAAAGGTGGTTGGTAGCGGCAGGGTGCGAGTGCACAGCACCGGGAGAGTTGGCGTAGTATAATATCAAGTGACGGAATGGACAAGTCGTACGCCTGATGGTAAGTGACTCGCTTGTCCATAACAGTTGCTGTGCCACTCAGAGTTTTAAATCGCAAAGATATTACGGGGCACTGCCACTGCGCCCGTCACCCTAAGACATAAGTTGACAAGTCCCAGGTGCCTGTAATTTTACCAGCACCCTTACCCTTCAAAACCGGAACGCAGTAATGTTCACATCACTGCTTGGTGGCAGAAATAGGTAAGGTAGCAGTACTTCCCTGGACGAACTCTTTCACAAGGAGTTCTACTGCTGAACAAGTTAATTTCCTATTGAAGCGACGCCAGTCATATAACATAGAAACATATGTCTAGTCCACAATCATCGGCGTTTTTTTTGACACTGACTTTGCAAGTTGGCCGCTGGTGGCCTCTGCGTCACTGGATAAAAGCGTGAGCTGAAGGCTCTAAACCCAAAAATAAACTAGAAATAAAGTTTTCAAAAATATATTCCCCGACTTCTAGCAACTGCGACTTTCATTAAATACCAATCAACAACTCTCGAATAGTCTCTAAACTACTGTATAATACAGGCTAGTCGAGTGGGTTTAAGTTTATTTTTCGCTTTGTAAATTTCGTCCACATTGCTGAATTTTCTTTTTGTTGTTTGTTGAAGTTGGATTTAATAAATGTGACACTGTTATACATCCAATATTATATTGATAGTTGTTTCAGATTGAAGAAATGCATTCTGTTTAATTTTGAGTTGCATTCAAAAAAGGTTGAAAAAGGTTGAATGAGGCTGTAGATGTTACTTTAATTGCTATAAAAAATAGTTTGTCTAATTCTTAATTATTTAAATGTAAATGTTACCATTTTAAATCTCACTTTGTTTTCGTTTCGTTAAATGTGCCGGTGTGAGTAGTTCATTAATTTTTACGGTCAGTTTTTAGATCGATTGTAATTTATTATAATTTATTTATGTAATTTGTTGATTTATTGGTAGGCCAATGATGTAATACAATAAAAATATATGGTCCATAAAGCCAATTTTAAAAAGACGGATTCGCCATAATAAACCATTTGTAACACGAAAACAAAACAATCAATCATTGTACGGGCAGAATTATTTACATTTACAAATTCCTAGTATTTTCATACCGTCTTGTCTTTTCCACGGCGCGTGGACTCTGGTGGTTTGATCTGCGGAGACGCTCATGATGTACCGGCCCTCCGATTCCCATCTCACATCCTCCACTGCATTGAAATGTCCACCGCACACTACTGCAGGCTCCCATTGTTCTGTTTCCTGGAAAGTAAGGAGATAATAACTGTACAGAATGTAGGAAATGAAACTATTGTTTCGGATCTAAATTGCATATATTTGTTAGTTCAAACAAATCAACGTTTTGGGCCGTTTACAGATCCCATGCATCTCAGACAGCCGTGACCTAGGGACCTGTGAAGAGCCCGAAAAGGCTGGTTTGTTTGAAATACCAAATATACACAACTTGTTATATGATAACAAACAACGGGATAAACAAAGTCATGCAACTCAGAGTTTTAAATCGCAAAGATTGGAGACACAAAGTTGACAAGTCCCAAGTGCCTGTAGTTTCACCAATACCTTTGTTTACTTTACAAAACCGGATAGCAGTAATGTGAGCAATACTGATTGACAGCAGAAATAGTTATGGTGGCAGTACTTGCAAAAGTTTTAACAGTATGTAATGCAAATGGTGCCCATTTATATAGTGTACACATATAAGTAAGTAATACGCACCTGATTCAATTTCCAAATATGTAAAGATCCGTTATAACCGTGTCCCAAGAAAGAAGTTCCATCAGGTCCAAAGCAACTTCCATAGAATCCCAGTCCATTCCCTCCTACTTCTCCAACTCGCACCCGTTCCACCCATACGCCACCGCTATCACCCTCACCCTGGCTGTGCGTGGGGGCCGAGTCAGGTTCCCACACTATGAGGGTTTTGTCTAACGAGGATGACAGGAGACGGAACACTGGATACTTTTTATTTGTATCTGTAATGAAACCGGTTTGGTTAATCAAAAGCATCTTGAGCTGATTTTAATATCAACAATTCAAACACATTATGGTGTTGCTAGAGTCTTACTCAAAGGGTTCAATGCAATATTTTAACATGCCTGTCCGTCCATCAGTTAAGATATGCTACCACACGAGAAACTATATACCTTTGTCAATCTTGTAAGGATGCCACTGCACACCATACACCCATCCCTCATGCCCAGCCAAGACCGCGTCAAGTTTTACAGCCCATTTAACTCCATGCACAGAAAATACTTTCTCCTCAACCTTGATTTGGGGCCTAAGTTGTTGTTCCTCGTGGCACTGGATCCGCCACAGACGGATGTACGTGTCTTGTGAAGCGGATGCAAGAAGCATTGTTCTATCATCTGAAAAAATATTGAGTGCTGAGAAAATAAAAATTTCAAGTACTTTTTTCCTAGAATATCTGCAAACACTCAACCATATTATGACCAGGTGAGTTGAAGGATGAGGCGTGTTCCAAAAAGGCAAGGCGATTGCCTTATCTCCCCGTGTCATTAAGTTGGGTTGCAGTGATCTCCTTGTCTCAATTGGGTTGCAATTCAGGTCAGGAGTTTGACATTGCCGGCAAATTATGCCTTGGCAACGTTAAAAGACCGTGTTGACCACCAGTGAAGGTATTGTATAGTACAGCGAAGTACACCTAGATGTCTATTTGCTTGAAACATTCTAACTCAGTTTTCATCTCAAAACCATCACAAAAAGAAGGAGGGTGGGAGTAGGTTTTATATGCTGCTTCTGTCATTTGCATAATTTTGATTACACTGGAGTCAAGCTGATAAGACGAAGTTTCAGCAGCCGGCTTACTAGACTTATAGACCATCAGTATTTGAGACGTTTTCCAATGGAGATTGAAGGTACATTAGAAGCTCAGACAGCGGCATTGATAAGCAATATGAGAAAAACAATGCACTTCCCAGGGAACTTCTTGAGTAGTCTTGGAGACATCAAGTCAAAACCTAGGGCCATTTATCATATTCAATATTAATTTAGCCAGTCCATTAAGTACTTATATTTTTTCTGTGAAAGTTCTTTGGTACCTGGTCATATAGGAAGTATGTGTGATGTAAAAATTAAAGTTGAGCATTTTTTCCAGATTTAGTCTCTCTACCAATAGTCAAAGTTGTTAATACTGATGAATAGATTGAAGCCTTTGATGGAATTAATTGATCAAATATTTATAAATATAATATTTTAGTAGTGTGCTGGTGACAGCACCATATGTTGAGTGACCACTAACAAATTGTTAACGTCTCTATCACTTCTCCAGTAAATGAAAATGAATTTTAAACAAAATTGTATTTAACAAAATTATAAAAGTATTATTATTATATTACACTTACCAACTTCCAAAACATCCATCCCTCTAACCCAGTCCTCATGTCCTACCAGAGTGTGTACTCTGTGATACTCATCGCCAGCAAATATGTGAATCTTATGGTCGTCTAAAGCGCAAAAAAGTATTGGTTTGTTCAATGTGGGCATTAGATGGGAATGGAGAGTGAGGCAGAGACCAGAATTAAGGTTGATTATCTGTTTTATGTTTACTATGCCTGAAAGTTTAAAACAATTTGATTAATAGACATTGAAGACAACTTTAAAATATTACAATGTTAATCTTTTAAATGTTTTCCTTTTAAGGAGCTTTTTTAATGTTACATTCAAAATTCGTTTTTGAGCATTACATAGCAAACTACCTCTTCACTTACGAGTTTTCGCTTGCAATGTAACCACGGCGTAGTAAGTAAGCACGCACGTAAGTAAGCACCAAGTAAGTACGCACGGCGTGCGTGCGAATGCCTTCAAGAGCGTATGAGTGCCTTTCAGTGTCTTGGAGTGCTTGTGAGTGCCTACAAGTGATAATTTAAAAAAAATCCTAAATATTGGCAACTAAAAGGCATTCACAAGCATTCAAAGACACTGGCTGGCACCCACGGGCAATCAAAGGCACTCAAGACACTCAAAAGCACTAAGGCACTCAAAGGCACTAAAAGGCGCTCAATGGCTCTAAAAGGCGCTCTAGAGACGCAAAAGCACTCTAAAGAAACCCAAAGGCACTCAAAGGTACTCCAAGGGACTTGCAGGCACCTAACTTGTAAAGACTTGAAAACATTTGTAAAGGAGGCTACCAAATGTTATAAGTGTTGTGCAACGAATGCTCAGTTCACTCCCACACTGCTGTAATGCTCACTCTTGAACTGTTACATTACAAGAGTATGTTTGTGGTGAAAGAACGCGGTTATGTTGTACCATTTATATATATTTTTTTGTAAATAAGACATGGATAAAGTTTTGGGAACCATTTGTAATGAATAGTTATTAGAGGAACTTTTTGTCAAAGGATTTTCCTGGCTTTGACTGTTTTGATGTCTTCTAAAGCACTTGTTATGGATATCGTAAACAATGACAGTACCATAAACACCCAGACCCCAGACAATACAGAAAAGTTAGTTTACTACACTGACCTGGCCGGGGATCGAACCCGCGGCATCAGAGATGACGACACCATGAAAGCTGGTGTGCAAACCACTCGACCATGGAGGCCGTCTTTGTTTGCTCTCTGGCTAAGATTTGACTTATGCTTGATCAAGCCACAGTACCAAGCAGTAACTTTTTGTAATATTTTCGCTTCCAAACTTAAAAACTATTTTATCCACTTACCATCAGTTCTTTCCCAAACTTTGACGGTAGAATCTATAGACCCTGTATACACTATAACATCATTATCTGTTACATAGAGACCATGTACACATGTTATCCCATCTGTATGCCCCTTTAGCTGACCAGTCACTGTCCAAGTCCCATCTTCTAAGGTCCATATGGCTGCAGTTTTGTCAGCAGAACAAGAGACCAATTCTGTGCATGTGCCGTTAGGTTTACGGACCCATTTCACTGAGTTTACTCGAGATTGATGATGGCAGAGTACTGTTAGTGGGTCAGTGCCTTTTTTGTTCTAAATAAGAAAACTTTCTAGATTAATTAAGTTCCTGCTAAAGTCAATTTTAAACAAGTATGTCCTCTATTAACTATGTACTACTACTTGGTACTTGGTGCAACGGGCTGGTAACTATGTAACAATAATAACCAACAGGATTAATACCATATCCAAGAATTGAACTACATACCTAGACACAGAACTAATAGGAATCGTAAGAAGGTAAAAAAGTTTCAAAATGAGAATTTACTTCATTGTAAACAAGGCTTCATGATGAGATGGGCTAGATTATGCATTTCATATATTTTTTGTTTAATATTACAAATTGGTTTCAATGTCTGTGTTTCTTGTTATAGTTATGACTTATAATAATTAAATTAACAAAATCTCTACATAAATGACCAGGACATACGGTATCATATATAAGAACAGCATTGCAAGCACCAAAACAAATGAGTCCCTGTTCATTCCAGTCGACAATCTCGGGAATTCGATTGCATGCTATTGAAGTGTACAGTTGTTTAACGTTCAACTTCATTTTTACGAACACTTCGTATGAGAGGGTTGTAGACTTTTGAAGATTTTTGCCAAAACATGCAAAACAATAGACGCAACAAATCACACGGTTTTTAGGGTTATGTTGTGAATCTTGTGAATGATTGTCAATGTCAATGACGTCATACCATGTAGAATGCATTTGTAAGAATAAAACGCTTTGTGCTTTCTGAAAATGTTGAAGTTTTATTTATAAATACTTTTTACTGATTGTGAACATATTTGTTGCAATTGTTCCAATTTTACATAAAAGACAAGGTAGTACAATTAAATATATAAGTTAGGTAGTAAGGTATTCATATTGTTTTTGGCGGCAAAACCAATAATCCACAAAACGTAAATGTCATCTTGTCATGTCTTGAGCATTATGTCTGGTATTTGTAAATAGTGCAAATTTTAATTAAAGCCAGTCAACAGTGTTGTACATAATCAAAATGCCTGACGTAATGATAGCAGGGATACCGGTGAGCTTTCCATTTGAGCCCTACGATGTCCAGAAAGCATACATGGAGAAGGTAATAGAGAGCCTACAAAACAATACGAACGCTTTGTTGGAGTCACCCACAGGAACTGGAAAGACTTTGAGCCTACTATGCTCTACCTTAGCCTGGCTGCTCGTTAAAAAAGCTCAGCTCCAAATGAATGCTCAATTAGGTAATTTCAATGATCATAGTGGTCCTGGAGGATTTGGCGGCGCATTAGGAGAGAAACTTAAATCTGGAGTCGGTAAAGGCAAAGACAACGTTTCCTGGGGCATGCCCAAAATTATCTATTCCTCAAGAACTCATTCACAATTAACTCAAGCAATGCAAGAGTTGAAAAGGTCAAGTTATAGACACGTGAAAGCGACTGTTCTAGGATCTAGGGACCAAATGTGCATACACCCTGAGGTCTCTAAAGAGACCAACAACATGAATAAGGTGCATATGTGTCAGCTGAAAGTTAAGTCCAGGACTTGCTACTTTTATAACAATGTTGAGTCTAAAAAGGAAGATAGAGCAGTAAAGGGTGATGAAATTTTAGACATAGAAGATTTGGTAACTGTTGGGAAAAAATTGAAATGCTGTCCATATTATTTGTCTAAAGAACTTAAACAAGATGCTGATATAATATTTATGCCTTATAATTATTTGCTTGACCCTAAATCAAGAAAAGCAAATGGTGTGGAATTAATGAACAATATTATTATTCTGGACGAAGGCCACAATGTTGAGAAAATGTGCGAAGAATCAGCTTCTCTACAGATCAGAACTACAGATGTCGCGTTATGTATAGATGAAATCACTCATGTGATGCGTTCATTCAGTGAAAACAGTGAAGAGCTTATGGATTCTGGTGTAGACAACAATCAGCCCAAAGATTTTACTGCAGATGATTTATGTATTTTAAAAGAAATGATGCTGGCATTAGAAAAAGCAATAGATGAAATTGAAATTAGCAAAGATGGTAGCACTTTCCCTGGTGGTTTCATATTTGAGCTTCTTGGGAAAGCAGAAATTAGAGATCATAATCAAATGTCTGTGATAACTTTGTTTGAAAATCTTATTCAATATTTGTCTTGTGCTAGTGCTTCTCCATTTCAGAAGAAGGGTATTGGTCTGCAGAAAATTGTAGACCTTTTGAATGTTGTTTTTAGTGGAACAACACATGCTTACAAGGAGAGAGTAAAGCTGTGTTACAAAGTCCACATTCAAGTTGAAGATAAGAAGAACAACAAGAAAACTGATAATTGGGGAGTTCTAAAAACTACAAGTACTAGAAACACTGAAAGAGTTCTGAGCTACTGGTGCTTCAGTCCAGGGTTTGGGATGAAACAATTGCTGGATCAAAATGTTAGAAGCATAATTCTCACCAGTGGTACTCTAGCACCATTGAAACCTTTGATTTCAGAATTAGGAATTCCAATTGGCGTCCTTCTAGAAAATCCGCATATAGTAAAAGAAAATCAAATTTGTGTGAAAATTATTGGTCAAGGCCCAGATTCAACACAACTGAATTCTAATTATCAGAACCGTGATAATCCTAAATACATATCCTCATTGGGTAGAACTATTCTCAGCTTCTCTCGTGTGGTACCTGATGGGCTCCTGGTGTTTTTTCCATCATATCCCATAATGAACAAGTGTCAAGAAATGTGGCAAGCTGAAGGAATTTGGTCCAGTATAAATAGCATAAAACAAATATTTGTAGAACCTCAAAGAAAGGACACTTTCAGCACCATAATTAATGATTATTATGCTAAAATAAAAGATCCTACTACAAAGGGAGCTTGCTTCTTGGCAGTTTGCAGAGGTAAAGTATCAGAAGGTCTGGATTTTGCAGACATGAATGGCAGAGCAGTGATAATCACTGGTTTGCCTTTTCCTCCAATGATGGACCCAAGGATTATACTCAAGAAGAAATATCTCGAAGAGTTGAGAGTGAAAGATAAAGATTACTTGTCAGGCAGTGAATGGTACTCTTTAGAAGCAACAAGAGCAGTAAATCAAGCTATGGGAAGAGTGATCAGACACAAGAATGATTATGGAGCTATTTTGTTATGTGATAGTAGATTTAACAATCCAAACCTAAAGAGCCAATTGTCTGCATGGCTGCGAGGCCACATAAAAGTGTCTAACAAGTTTGGAGAGACAGTTAGTGAGATATGTCGATTTTTTAAAAATGCAGAGTCCTCATTGCCTGCTCCAAGACTCAAGCCTTTGCTTCCACATGAATCAAATTCATTTAACTCTGGGTACAAGGACAATGGGTCAGGGGACACCAGTGGAATATCATTTCCCACAGCAAATACAAGACTAATAAATAGAACAAACAGAAAATCTGTTAGCCAATATCCAAACTCCAATGAAGTTTATGCAGATTTCTCAATGGATTTCTACAAGAAAGCTCAGTCATCAGCTTATGTCAATGATTTCAAACCTAAAGAAGCAAAGGACTTATTCAGTGCATTAGACAAAGATAGCCAATCTTCAGAAGGACCTTCACAATCTTTAGTAACAATACATAAAAGAAATGGTGATGATATCAGTGTTCCTATAGCAGCAAAAAAGAAGAAATTAAAAATCAAACCATTTGGTTTTGAAGAGAACCTTAATAAAGCATCAGAAACTTTTGTGGAAAAAATAGCTCCCACTTCTTTGATAGACTTTGTTAAAGAAATAAAAACATTGTTACAACCTGATCAATATAAGAATTTTCAGCTATCTATCTCGGCATACAAAAAGGAAGGGAATTATGGATTGTTTTTAAACTCTTTGATTTGTTTATTTGAAAATAAAAAGCTGTTTTATTTATTTAAAGGAATGAAAAGGTTTTTAAAAGAAGAGCATAAGCCTGGTTTTCAAGATTACTGTGATAATGTATCATTTGACAGTTGACAAGATGTAGTTTTAAATCAATATAATTCACTATCAATAAAATTAAGTCATAGGTTAACTGTGTTTTATTAACAGATTTATCACCCAGTTAGTACCTTTACAGCTACCAGTCCTGGCGAGAGATGTCGCTATTCACTGTATTAATTAAATTTTTGTTGAATTGATATTCAATTATTTTTTGTGAAATTACTCCACTAGTTTGTTATAATTATTAATACAAAGATCGACACTCAGAAAAAATTCCGTTTTATTAAATTAAATTGTGTTTTATTAAATTATTAACTACAGTAAACCAAACATCTAGCTTAAAATACATTTTTGGGTGCTTCATTAATTTTGTTAGCAATTTCAACAGAGTTGATTCTTAACATTGTTTGCTGAACTTTCTGGAAGTTAATCCTCATGAACTGCTTCCTCCTCTTCTTCTTAAAATGTGTTCTAGTGTGAGACAATCCTTTGGAGATCACTGTCGCTGTAACATTTACTAGTCCGGGTTGTACTAAAGGTCTTCCAATAAGGGAGAAATCCTTAGTGGCAGCAAGTAATACTTTCTCTAACTTTATCTTATCTCCAATGTTAGGTGGCCAGTATCCTTCGACAACAAGCAGATCGCCATCAGTGACGCGCCATTGCTTGCCCAATATATGCACTATAGCGAAGTTGCGTGACGCTTTTTCTTCAATGAGTTTGTTACAAGTTGCTATTACATCTTTCGAGGTTTCTGCAGTTGATTTGTTCTCAATAGGTGCTAGGTTAGTGATAAACCGCGATAGAATGCCTCCTGGAAGTATAACATAATTTTGTAAAGATGTACTGATTAATGATGTGCTAACTTGCCGTTTTTACTACAAACCTTGTCCACTGCTAAATATGTTTGCAAACCGCTGCAACCCAGTTCTAATTATAGACATTGTAATTTTATATAATTATTATTTCAAAACAACATTTCAGCCGAGAACAAGAATTCCTTATAAATATAACCTCAAACTCACATTTGAAGTTTGACAGTGACGTTTTCGTTCGGAATTATTTTAACGGCTAGGGTATTCTTCAACAAAAAAAATAATAATTTTGTTTTATAAATCTGTCGTTGACTTCTCCCTTCAATGTGCTGCAGAACAAGGGAGAAGTCAATGACAGACAAACCCGGTGCATGGAGCTATTATGAAAATTTTGATATAGGTTCTTTTCCTAGTTTTTAATAATATCCTGATGGCGAAATTCATAAAGTTAAAAATTAGTTTGATTACATCGTATGAATGTAACTTTAAATTCGAAAGTCATTGTTAGAAAATAAAGTAAAGTTATCTAAGTATAATCAACAATTTCTCCTTTTTGAACTTGGATATTTTTTTCAAACAAACCGACGTTTCGGGCCCTTTACAGGTCCCATGGCCACGTCAAGTCAACCGTGACCATGAGATCTGTAAAGGGCCCGAAACGTCAGTTTGTTTGAAAAAACAAATATACGCGATTTAAATCCGGAAAAATAGTTTCATTTCCTATGTGTAACAATCGCGAAAACTCGAAGTGTAAAACTAAGCACGTTGTTGACTGAAGGTACATAGTTGTTTTACATAGTATTTTTATCAACAATAGAGTAATGGACATAATAAGAGATAATAACACAATAAAATCATACCTGCTGTTCTTAACCGCCATCTTCACAACATCACTGATTCAGTTAGGGGTATTTCTAAGATAGTAGCATGCTGTTAATAAATGCTCTTCAACGAGAAGAAACAAATTGTGTGAAATTTATATTGTCCAATGTCTAACACTATCACAAGTAATACAAAATTAGCCTTGTAGATACAGTCGTATTTATTAGCTAGGTAACTTGAAATGTTCAATTACAATGGGGCTAAATAACTAAGTTATCGAAACTACTCAGCTTTGCATTGTATACGCGATTAAAACGTAAAACTTTCAAACGTAGTAAACGTCATAAATTCGTTCCTTTACGCACTTTAGTTACTTTTAATGACGTTTAATGTTTAATGTACACAGTTTAATGACGTACAGCCATTGACTTACAATCGTACAGCATTTTGTTTTGGGTAATTGATATTATTGTTTTATTTTATTAACAACGAACAACAACAACGCACACACTCAACATAGCCCCGCACTAGGGAAACCCTGTATCGCGGGTGCCATGGACACACACATAGACAACCACAAATTACACCCAAACTCACGAGAGAAATAAATGTAGGTCATACAAATATTTCTCCCGGCCCGGGAATCGAACCTGGGACCTCTGCGTGGCAGTCCGTCGTGGTAACCGTTAAGCCACGGAGGCAGTTAATGTCACCGATATTAATAGAATCAGTCCTGCAAAAACGTGGACGTAGGGCAATTTACGATCTGGGCCCCAGAGCGTCTTTGAGAGAAAAGCTTAAAGAAATTAACTTTCTTTCACTAGCGTCGCAGTAAAATTATGAATATTCGATTTATGTTAAGAGAAATAGTAAATATTTTAAGAAAAATACTGATAAACATAACATTAATACGACGAATAAAAATAAACTTGTAGTTCTTGACAAAGTCACAAAATTCATTTAAGAGGCAACGTTATGTTCTTTGCTTCTTTAATGAGATTTTAGTTGATATTCAGAATTTGCCATTTATGAGGTTTATAACTATAGTAAAAACAAAAACTTTTCGATATCGTCGCTTTTACTAAAGGTCGTTCGCAGGTTCTGCGTAGACATGGGTGACAAAAATTCATGCTAGTGACCCCTTTAGCTCTTACAATGTGTCTTGATCTATCATAAAATTGAAATAAATAATGTAAATGAGAAATGTATTTAAATATACATTTACAAAGAGCTGTAGAGAATAGTAGAGAAAAACAGAGTTTAATCTCAAATGTAATGTGCGCACTTACTTTGGGATCACAGCAACGTATGGGATGTTGTCTAATATTTATATTTATTATTTACTATAAAATAAAAATTATTTGAATTTGAGTTTGAGTAATCCCCAACGTATACGCTTCTATAATAACAATTACTATTCTTATTCAACATTTATCATGTACAAGGTATACCTAATATTATTTAAATGGAAAACTACCGTGAGATTGAGACATATTAATTACACTATTTTTATGATAACAAGTGACGGGACCAAATTGTGCGCCTGGGGGTAAGCGACACGTACATAACAGTTGTAGTGCCACTCAGATCTTTAAAACAAAGATTTGAGGGGCACTGTCATTGAGCCCGTCTCTCTGAGGCACAATAAGTTGACAATTCCCATGCGCATGTAATTTCACCAGCACCCTTACCCTTCAAAACCGGAACACGGTAAAGTAGTTGTTCACATTACCGCTTGGCGGCAGAAGTAGGTAAGGTAGTGCTTTCCTGGACAAATTCTTTCACAAGGAGTTCTACTGCTACTAGAAAAAACGAAAACTCACGTATTTAAGTCGAAGCTTTGTTCTACATGCTTCGAAGTAGTCCGTGGTCCTTAATCATGAGATTCCGCCGCGGTTTCCGTCGAGTCACCGACCTCATTGGAGCAAAACCCTCTTCAAATAACAAAGATTTAAAAAATCCATAAGTTAAGTTAATATTTAATATTATTACACAGTTTCTGCATACTTGAATGACGATAATGAACGGTAGTGATACGTTTAGTTCTTTCTGGTTTCATATAATATTTGATATAATATTGTAAGTGATAAAAGTGTACAAATGTACCTATGTTTATTTACAAAGAGCAACCCCTACACAGAGTATCTTATTCATTCTTAATACCCAATACTTTTATTAACCCCTTACGGGTACGCTCCCCGGGTTTCTTTACGATACCCTGCAAGGGCACGGCAAAAAGTGAAATCGATTAGGAAAGAGCACAAGTTGTAAAAAAATATTATAATAACAGAAAAATCTAAATTCTTTAAAGTAATTCTAATTATTTTCTATTTACCTTATCATAAGTCATAAAACAGGCGCAGTCAAGAGCATTTTATTCACATTTTGGTTCAACTTTTACTGAGTCAGACGACAATCGCATTAGCGTGCCTGGATCACAGTGTGGTTGGCGTCTAACGCGTCATTGCGCGCAAGTAACGCACGACGACGCGCGAAACCGCTCAACGCAATTAAGCGTCGACAGGCGAACGCGCGCGTCGACGCGCGATTCCATATTTGTATAACACCAGTTTGTGCTTTAATAATGGAAAAATAGAGATGAATATGCTATAGGCGAAAAACATGACGTGTCGTGATGCTTCGACTCTGCGCCAGTGTGTGTTGCACTGCGCCTTAGGGTTTTGAATTTTAGTTATTGTGGAATTTAAATCACAAGTGTCAAGCTTCACGTGCTTGATCAAAAGCATTCATCAATTTTACTACTTTTTAACCGACTTCAAAAAAAGGAGGAGGTTCTCAATTCGACTGCATGTTTTTTTTTGTATGTATGTTACGCGATAACTCCGGTATTTGTGAACCGATTTTCATGATTATTTTTTTGTTGGAAAGAGGAAGCCTCCATAGTGGTCCCATTTCAGTTTTAAGAAAATCATCCACCTGGGTGGCTGATCACGCATGAACATTCATTTTTATAAATAGCGCCTAAATTTTACTTAAATAGCAATTATTTTAATTCTTGGTTTTGCTATTCTCCAATTCAAGGCGTTTTTCTCTCTCAATATACTTTGAGTAGTGAGAACCAATTTTTATTATCTCCTGTGTCAAGTCCTGTATAGTGGCGAACTAAACATCCCTATATTTCAATAAAACTTGACAAATAGATGTATTTCCACGTACTTTTGAGGTCGGTTTTTTTAGTACTCTGTACTGAGATTATATAAAATAATATACTTTTTTATATGTTTCCGTAATATTGTGTATAAAATATTTATCGAATTAGTTGGACATAACCATGCAGTGTACTTCTAGGTATTAAAATGTGTTTTAACGCTCCTATAAATTTTGCTACAATCGTTTCTGTCTTTATTACTTTTCTTTAATCTGTTGTAAATTTTAATTGACATAAAAGACGGACTAGTGGAGGAACGTCATCTTAATTGCGAGGATGTATTTTTGAAGATATATGCTTGTATTTTTGTGCCGGAAGGAATATTATCAAAGACAAAATCAAAGAATCTCTATTTCATGTGGAAGTAAATTACACTTGACAATCGTTACTCTGATTAAACTCCTTAAAGGATGGAAGTTAAACTCTACTGCTATTTCTTAAGACAGATTCGCCTGAAAAGAATGATCAAGAAACTTTAGGGGTTATTCTTTATAAATATACATTTGTACATGTTTATCATTTACAATATTTATTCCAAAAACGTCGTAGATCAAGACTACCTGCAAGAGGTAAACGGGTCACTACCACGGATTTTTGTCATCCAGGTACGCAGAAGGCTGTATAAAGCTTTTCTTTCACTATAGTTTTAAACATCGCGAATGGCAAATTTTGAATATTAACCGGAATCTTATTATATAAGCGTATACATTACCCCTTAAGTGAATTTGAGAGTTTGTGAAAACGACTGGCAAGAACAGCTAGTTTATTTTTATTCCTCGTGTTAATGATATGTCTGTCACTATTTTTCAAAAACCAAAATTACTAAACATAAATTATATTTTCTTGAACGTACTGTGACACTGGTGTAATAATGTTAATCTTTTTAGATTTACACTCAAAGACACTCTGTTGTGTGTGACACTCAGACAAAGATTCTATTAATACCGGCGAAATTACTATAGAGCAAAATGCCGTACGTCATTTCATGTAAACCAATCTAGCGGTTTTTGTTTTTTCTTTATTGACAAATCCTAATTAATAGTAACAATCGTAAAAATAAATTAGGTGTAATATGATTTATTTAAATACTATGATGAATTCACATATGATGATTATTGTACTAACACAAATTTGGATTTAATATTTCGGGCAAAGTTTAAATGGTGACTTGGATTATTAC